TTGAACTCGATCAATCCAAGCATGTCTCAGATACGGATCCAGAACTGAATTTTTTAAAACAAAATGGCCGCCAGTCGGCCATTTCAAACCCGATCCAAAAAAAAAAATGACGTGCATCAAGGTCCTATTATGTTTAATGTATGTACCAAATTTGAACAAAATCCGTCCATGCATAACTGAGATCCGGGTCCGGAATGGTGAAAATGTGTGATTTTGATGCATTTTCGGCCTTAAAATGGCCGCTATTCGGCTATCGTTAATCGGATCATGAAAAAAATGCATGTGCATATGTCCCATATAATGTGTGATGTATGAGTGAAGTTTGAACTTAATCGGTCCATGCATGTTCGAGATACAGGTGATCACGGACGGACGGACGGACGGACGCACGGACGCACGGACGCACACAGGGCAAAACATAAGTCCCCGTTTTCAGACTACGTCCGAACGGGGACTAATTATCTACACTAAAGTGTATTCATTGTCACAAGGATATTTGCTTGGTTTTAAATTTACTAGTTTTTGAAGGAAACGATTCATTCTGTGGTTAACTTTGCATATATATAAAGGGTTTCAATCAAGTGCACTTAGCCATCAGTGAAATAAGCAACAACAACAAAAAACAGTTAACTTTTAGCAGTACATCATGCACAACCTGTTATTCAAGACTTGGGATTAGTATATACAGCAGTATATATTCTGCATAAAATCAGTGGAATTAAAGTGAGCAAAATAATATTGCATTGAGTGCTTACCAGCTGAGTGCATGTAAGGTCATCAATGTTACTATCGAGGGTTCCAAGACCCCACTGGTAAAACATGACTGGCAAAGTGAATTCAAAATCACCCCACACGACTGTCATTGATGTCTTTGATGCAACATATCTAGCAGAGACAGAGAGAGAGGGAGTGGACACAGAATTATTATTTTCACTATGAAAAAGTTGAATAGAGGATTATTTTTCACAAAGCTCACATGAATTAAATTTTGCTAATTTCACTTATCAACAAAAATAGCGTAATTATCACATTAAATAATTAACGCATTCACAATAAAAATAATCTCAACAGTACTATAAACTGTTTAATTCTCACAATTTGGGAAATTATGTTATATGCCTTTTCAAGCTAGTAATCACAATGACACAATATATGCCAAAAAAGACAACATATTCGGGCAAGACTATTCAAAACACAACCGGACAACTCAAACACATGACACAACTGTACAATAGTGACACAAACTAACCTTGACACTGTGACCTCACCCAATGACACTGCTTTCCCACCATATCCTACTTGAATGCCATTAGATGTAACTTCTTTCATAGCTGTAGACACACTGTATGCCCTCACAGTAATGTAGTAAGTTACTGACTTAGGTACTAATTGTAGATCAGTGAATGTGTGTGTTTTGTTTAGACCAACATGAATGAATGGATGAATGTTGGTTCTCATTGCTGGATATCTACGATCTGTTCCTGCCGCTATTTCATAGTGCTCTATCATCTGGTGTTGTTGATTTTTAGTTTCACCTGAAAACACAATGTTAATGATTTGTATGTTGTGATTCTCTAGTGACTTCGAACTTACAACTATTTTCACACACTTCTATACAATGGACCATTTTCCACATTGAATCATTCCACACAGTGCACAATTCCCAACATTAGATCATTTAATACATTAGACCATTCCACACATTGGACCATTTTGCACACTGGACTATTTGCAATGAACCATTCTGCACACTTGACCGAGTACATTGGACCATTCCACAAATTGGACCATTCCACACACTGGACTATTTACAATTGACCATTCCGCACACTGGAACATTCCGCGCACTTGACCAAGGACATTGAACCATTCCACACACTGGAACATTCCGCACACTTGACCAAGTACATCGTTCCATTCCACACACTGGAACATTCCGCACACTTGACCAAGTACATCGAACCATTCCACACACTGGAACATTCCGCACACTTGACCAAGTATATCGGACCATTCCACACACTGGAACATCACATACATTGGGTCACTTCACACACTGGACCATTCCACACAATGAACAGTGCCATGATTCACTTGACAACCTCACAAACATAGATAAATATTTCAAAATCTTACCTGCCATTAAACCATCTACTCCAAACCCATCCCAATTAGCAGATAACCTTGTCACTGACGGTTGATAATTGATATCGAAACCAATCACATCACCATCTCTAACTTGGCCTGGCAATAATGGATCTTTTTGAATTGTGACACCATTTGATCGAAGAGATAGAGTGTATCCAAGGAGATTTGTTGCCCTGACAACAAGGTAATAAGACTCTCCATCTTTCAGTGATACCTGGTCATTCATGCCATGGGTCTGACCTGCATTATATACACTTTTGTCAGTTTATGAGATACACTAGTTTTAAAGTAAATAATGAAACCTGCTGAAAAATCTCTTGTATCTGTCCTACAGCACAAATAGATCATGAAACCATGTATGATAAAGATATTAATATAATGACAAACTTGTGATATGCATAGCCTCAATGTTTTGTGATAAAAAATATCAAGATCACTCATAAATTGATGCAGAATCCCATGGATTTTCATGTAATAATTAACCTTTATTATTATACATCTGCCACCCTAACGCCATAACTTACAGCATGCCGTAATTTTGTGGTATTTTACGGGGTATTTTCATCCTACAAATTGTGAATTCCAAATATGGAATGATTACGCATGTAAGCCTCCTCTAATAATAAAAACAAACATGGCTGCCACCAGGGTTTGACCGGACTCCACACAAAGAAGTTTGTTGATTCTGTTCTAAACCTTTTGGATTTTGGCATTCACATGATGTATCCTTGGATAGAAAAGATGTATAATAATGAGGTTATTACGAGGATACCTCAAGGTATACACCCAGACAGTACACGATCGCATCAACCTCCACTGCACGACGGTCGATACTTCCACTGTATACTTTGAGGTATCCTCATAATAACCTTATATTAATGATAATCTCACCTTCAGGCAATTCTATCATTGGCTGTATTTCTGTGCCATCAAAACCTTGTATAGACCACTCATATTTACTGATTGGACATGGATCACCAGTGAAGTCCCACTGTCCACTCAGCATTTCATTGTTTTCTTGATAGTCGCTGTAACAACATCACATTTACAGAGAAATAAACCAATTCATTTATTGTCCTACCCAGACACAGTGAATTTCACACTCGTCATTCAGTGCTACTTAAAATGTTAACAATTGTTTTATTTTACACAATGTTGTAAACATCACATGAAATCCTTATTAAACACAGCACAGTAACACAGTTTATTGTACCAATTTGAGTATTTATTTTGACTTAAGCATTTTGACTTCAGTAACAAAGAGTTATTATTATTTTATACAATAACATCCCTGACAGGTCAAGCTCAATACATAGTAACATTGTCAGTTAGTTTTTTAGTCACGGATTGGTCTCTCTTACGCTTTCCTGGCAGGATTCTATCGGTGGTAACTAACCGTTTGACGATATTATAAGCTGTCTGCTTTGAAACACCACTTAGATCTCCAATCTCAGCAAATGACAGTCCACGAAAATACAAATCGACAAGTCTTGTTCTCACTTCAACTGGTTTTTCGACTCCTTTCTTCTCCAGCGTGGTGTTTAAACAACTTGGACACATGCCGATTTGTAGACACGCAATCAACATGATGACTGACCAAAAGTGACTGAGGGCAGACGCGCCGCAAAATATGGGGCATCGGACTTTGTAGCAAAAATATAAAAAATTGTAGGCAATATCTGTCAATCATTCCTCTGAATTGGAGACGATGTTTAAATTTTAGTTACAATTAATTTATGTGAAAACAAAATGTGTAACCTATTGTAGAATGTTATCTATATCTAGCACTACTTCAGCATCAAATCAGTGCCTGGAATTGCTGTAACACTGAGAATACAACACATGGTGTCAGATGGTGAATAGTACAAGTTAAAAAAGTCAGTACTTACAAGTCTTTATCACCATTCCCATCCCATACATGACTTGAACGAAGTGATGGTAAACCTAGACTAATTCGACTGATGAACACACCATTAGACATTGCAGTAGATGTCAATCCAGCAGCATTTGTAGCTTTAACAGACACATATCCCACTTCAATATCAGTTAAATCAAGCCCTGTTATAACTGTGTAGTAAGAATCTAGTGGTACATCCTGGTATTCCTGTAGTTGTGTACCCCCTGGAGATGTGCCAGCAGCTACCTGGTATCTGGACAGGAAGTCGAAATGACAGCATATCAATCATATATGAAACTCGATCCAAGAACACAAAACCAATGAATACCAAACAAGCACTAAACAACAAATTGGCATGACAAAACATGGTCAAATCCGTGAGAAAACAGTTCACTGGAAAACAGAAATACATTTGTAATACACATATAACCATGGATCATCAGACAAAAATCATGAACACAAAACAACCACAACCGAAGAATTAAAAAACATGGTCACATCAATGAAAGAATGATACATGAACCTTGAGGTATATCAACTGATCTTGTATGTTTTGTGGTTTGAAAAGAATGAGTTCATATAATAACTGCTTGACCTATCCCATCAGCTACATATTACTCCAAATGGTTTCAGAAATGAATGACAATTAAGAGACAATCATGCGATCTGAGATCACCTGAAAAGTGATGTTACTGTCCTCCCGTAAAGGAATCAATGTTCTTTCCAAACCATGCAGGTTTCCTATTTCTAATTGCCACATTTTCAGTAGGAAAAATGATTCTGACTGAAGTAATCTACTGTCATCCTAGAAAATGTCACTTACGATTTTCAGCATACACAACTTAGACACAGATTAGCATTTTTTGTATAGATGAACATCAATAATGTGAGACATTATGAATGTCAGCGAAATCAAACCATGAGTTTAGTAAATTACATATAAGCCTACCTTATAATAGGAGATTCAGGATCTTGGAAAGGTTGCCAGGTGACAGAAATTTGAGTTAAAGATTTCTGACAAACCACATCCAAAAGAGCACACTCTGAGAAGAAATGAAATGGTATTTAGTTATAATACATTGAATTCAATCTATATAATCAACAGGGCGTGCCATTAGAGTAAAGGGACAGTTGGTTATACAGGTACATTGGTAGGGAAATCCAAAACCTCATGCCAAGACACAATGCTAATTTTTTAGTTACGCATTTCAAAACAATCAAGTTTTTGCTTTACAAATGGTAAATAGCAAATCAACCAGTTTAGTGGTGGCCAATTATCCTGGGAACTCACTAAATTTTATGAAACTTTTTTGAAATGTTTTCACAATATTAGGATTTGCATGAATAAAATAATACTATGACTTTTGTGTTCCATGTCACCATGCACAATTTTGAGATTTAAAAAATAATCCCATCACAGAAACCCATGTAAAAATGCCAATTTTGACCATTTACCATCATGATGATATTTGTATTTCATCCAGGCTTAGTCTTTTCCACAAAACGAAACGAAACCCTAACCCTGACTCGCATTTTTTTCATTGATCTAATAATATCTGAGAAAATTTCACACTGTGAAACACGAAATGAATAGCGCCATCAGTGTTCAACAATTTCAAAATGGCTGTCACGTCATGTCAGCACAAATTAATCAAGCTGCAAAGTAGGCGGAAAAGAGGTGGAAACTAAATATTCTCGAAAATATTTCTGTGACGTTTGAAATTTAAGGTTAAGGTTAGGGTTAGGGTTTCGTTTCGTTACGTGGAAAAGACTAAGCCTTTCACCCTTTCTGCTAAACTTAATTAATGCTTCCTTGTATTGGTATTTGTTTTTTGATGGTCCGATTTTTTTTTTGCCTTTTTTACAAGCCAAATCCTTTTGAACAAAAATCTTGCACTGACAAGAAACAAAGCATTTATTTTGTTTGGTCTTATACATCCTTCTCTTCACCCTCTTTTCAACAAAAATTGCAAACAACACAAAAAACGCATCAATGTGTTACCTTCATCAGTGGTACAAGTGGAAGACTTTTCAGTATCGTCCACAGAAACATCAATTTCATCCACTCCGCTCCACTCAATTACGCTTCCTTGTACTGGTGGAGTGTCATCAATCACAATAGGCTGTGAGAATGATTGTGATTTCAAACCAACACCATTGTATGCGATGATAGTCACATAATATCTACCACTATGTTGCAGACTACCTCCATGTAAATCTAAAAATAAATAAACTCCTTAAGTCATGGTAACAGAACGTTCATATACATATAGCAGAATTGAGAGGGCACTCAGGTTTAAGATGATTTTTCAAAAACATGTCATTAGCATATAGAAATAGTACAAAGAAAATTATTCTGTATTTTGCAAAGGCATTTACATGTAGGCAAAAATGTAAATCAAGGAAACTGCCTCTGATGCTTCTGTGAAGTTCAAGCCCTGGGAAAATAATAACCTACTAATTGTACCATTCATAATCTGGGAAATAAGCTAGCAATTAAGCCTTCCAAAGGCTTTCCAAATGCCTTGTGATGGGAAAATAAGCTAGCCAAGTCTTCAAAAGTAAAGGGGTGATGTTTAACTAACACAATTAATAATTAACATAAACTTGGAAATAAGCCAGAAATTAAGCCTTCCAAAGGCTTTCCGAATGCCTTGTGATGGGAAAATAAGCCAGCCAAGTCTTCAAAAGTGAGGGGGTTATGTTCAACTAACACAATTAATAATTAACATAAACTGGGAAATAAGCCAGAAATTAAGCCTTCAAAAGGCCTTCCAAATGGCTTGTGATGGGAAAATAAGCTAGCCAAGTATTCAAATGTAAAGGAGTGATGTTTAACTAACACAATTAATAATTAACATAAAATGGGAAATAAGCCAGAAATTATGCATTCCAAAGGCTTTCTGAATGCCCTGTGATGGGAAAATAAGCCAGCCAAGTCTTCAAAATTAAAGGGGTGATGTTTAACTAACACAATTAATAATTAACATAATCTGGGAAATAAGCTACCAATTAAGCCTTCCAAAGGCCTTCCAAATGACTTGTGATGGGAAAACAAGCCAGCCAAGTCTTCAAAAGTAAGAAGGCGATGTTTAACTAACACAATTAATAATTAACATAATCTGAAAAATATGCTAGCAATTAAGCCTTCCAAAGGCCTTCCGAATTCCTTGTGATGGGAAAATAAGCAAGCCAAGTATTCAAAAGTAAGGGGGTGATGTTTAACTAACACAATTAATAATTCGCATAATCTGGGAAATAAGCTAGCAATTAAGCCTTCCAAAAGCTTTCCGAATGCCTTGTGATGGGAAAATAAGTCTTCAAAAGTAAGGGGGCGATGTTTAAACACACTGCCTGCTGACTTTTGGTATGTCTGTTGAAGCTTAATTTCAGCAGACGAGGTGTTAGGGTGTTAATTAAATTAAACGTTGATATGATCCTGTACTGCTTGAGGGCATATAACTTCTATCTATAACAATATACAACTCACCTCTAGCTCTGTAACTGTTGATATGAGATTCAATCTTCTTGTATGAAAACAATGAATCATCTCCTTCTGATATCCCAATGCCGAACTCATAATGTGATATGAAACTTTCATCGTCATAGAAATGACTCCATGAACAGAACAGCTCATCAATTGCTACACTGTATCTAGGACACTCAACAATTCCTGCTATTGGTGGAGATGTATCAACAGTCACACTACCAGAAATAGTCTCAGTCCACAAACCAACCTGGTATCAACACAAAGGTTTCAGAAAGGTAGAATATTTATTCAGTAATACTGTTAAATATTTTATTTTAGCTGGAATTATTTTTCGCTGAAAAACTTTTTGGGTGTTTTGTATGGAAAATTATTTTCACTGATTTTTGGTGTGTTGAATGAAAAATATAGGAAAAAAGATATATTCGCTGGATTTTATTTTCACTGAATCATTACCTCAGCAAAAATTAATTCTAAGCGAAAATATTAAAGTATTTTACAGTACAAAATTTTTACTGGCATAATGGTCATACACATGTACCTTGATACTGTGAAGTAAAACCAAACAAATTCCCCCTGAGACTGACCAGTCAAGCCAAATAATTTTTCTTTTATCTCAAGTATTTTGATAAAAACCTTTCAGCAATTGAAAATTCTGTCATTCAGTCCAACATTGACAAAGAAATTACAAAAAAAATAAAGCAAAATGTACACAATTCTGACATTAAAATTTTGGCGGGAAAAATTATGATGATCTAAGTACTAAAAGTATGTTTATTATGAAGAAGTCACCATAGATGTAAATAATACCTGATTGATCGATTTTAATGCAAGTATATTTGGTTTTCCATTTCCTTCAGGTACTACCATACCATTAGGCACACTGTAAATTTCAGTTACATCAGTTATATTATAGATATCATCAGCACCAGGATAACTACCATAGGAGAATGATGTGTAGATGATGGTACTTTCATCTTCAGTTATCTCCCATTCCGCAGCTAAAGAATCCACGGATTCCTGAATACAAACAGAATATTACATGTAATACATAACAGGAGAATACATCCATCACAGCATATCTCATACATCACAATTTACTGCAATTTGTACAAATTCGGACAATTACATATTTAAGATGAGGTTAAAAGAAGGAAAAATAATGAGGTTTTAATTTTTTTCTTCATTAGGATTATTCAATCATTTCGCCACCAGTTCCCTCTTTTCATCACAAAATAGTCTTGTTTATAGTTTGCACTTTCATTCAGAGCATTGGGACAAAAAAGCCAAATTTTTAAAATTGTAAATTGTAAAAATTTTAAATTGACACAAATTTTGTCTATTGGCTCCAAAATTAGGGTTCGTTTCCTGAAAAATAATATAAGAATAAAAAAGTGCAGAAAAATTTGGGAGAGAAAGTCTGGTGGTGAAAAGGTTAATACCATATATGTTCAATTATTAAATAAGACTTTTTAATACATGCACTAAATAAAGGTTTATTTGGATCCACAAAACATTCTCTGAAACAGAAATCAAACATATCTTCATTCTATCGTTTGTCACGATCTTTACTGGTATGCCAAATTACAAAAATAAATGTGTGAGACACCAGATTTTAAGCTGATACGTGTGTTGACAAGAAGCAAAACATATTTAAAAGAGACTATTAGTCCCTCGACCCTATAAGCTTAAATGAATAATCTCACAGAATAACTTTAACACCTAGATAAACATTGTACTTGTAACAACCAGAGAACATACCACAAATTGTATTGTATACATACCTGATAATGTGCAGTGTTCACATCTAAATTAAGAGTATTATTATCAACAATGACACCCAGACTGTCTATAGTAATGACAGGGGATGTCAAATCAACTGTGAAGCCATCACTGACAGAATCTAGTGCATTACCAGCACCTGTTATAGCTCTGACTGTAGTAAAGTAAGTAACACCGCTATCCAGCTGTAATGGCATCTGAGCTTTACCTGAACCACTTAAACCTAATAATGGGAAATATAACACAAAGTTTGAAGTTTGAAATATAGTGACAACATGTTTCTGATATGTCAAAATGATGTGGATAAGAGCATATTAAGTAATATTGTTGAAATAGATCAAATTGTGTAGTTGGTCATCATTTAGCTTTTTTACCACCAGACTTTCTTGCTTAAATTTGTCTGCACTTTTTTTACTATCTTATTCAATATTTCTGGAAACGAACCCTAATTATGGCAAAATTTAAGTCAATTTTCAGTTTTTACCCAAAAAATTTGGCTAATTGTTGCAACTTTTTGAAGGAACGTGAACACTATAAATGGAACTATTTTGTGATGAAAAGCAGGAACTGGTGATGGAAAGCTTAGAATGTAGTGAATATAGACTAATTTAAAATAATATTATTCATCTGACGAAAACAATAAAATTTACCAGTCCATATAATGGTGTATGGACCTGTTTAAAAGTGTTACAAAAACATTTGATTGTTTTCCTCATTTGGAAATTGTGCATTACATTTATATGTCACATTTCAACACTTTTTTTGTTGGGAATAGAATCCCATCAATAAATGCAAAACTTTGCACAGAGTGAAACATTCCTTGTTGTCATTTTGGATAGTTATCTCTTAAATTATTATGACAAGCGGGAAAACATGTATAATAATAAGATTATCATGAGAATACAGCAAAGTATGTGCTCAGGCAGTACGGATAACGCATGACAATGTCTCATCAGGTAAAGTTTGAATAAATTAACATGTATGGTACTTTTAATATTGTTAGAAATAAATTGTGCCTTATTAAGTATTTATAATTTTAATAAAACTGGATGAAGCCAGGAAGAGATTAAACAAGATGCCAGAATAACAGTGGTGGCGGCACAGAGATGGGGGCGGCCCTCGAAAAAATTGTTTGGGGTTTTCCCCTTCAAAATTTGATCCCCAAAATGCAGGAAATAGCATTTTAGAGGGTCTAGATTTAAAAATTTGTAAGGGGGAGCATGCCCCTTACAAAGGTTGGTGAGCAGATTCCCCCCAATGCAAAATTTCTTGCTGCCGCCTCTGAATAAATAGAATTAAATTATTATTATGTAAATAACTGGATGTTACAAATGCTACGGTTCCGGTGCACAATAACACATGCATGCCAATGTTCCACCAGGTAAAGTTTGCATAGTGTATTAAACTTGTATGATATACCTTCTCCAGGGTTGCCATGTTGATTGTCTACTACAATACCAGCATCAGTATATGGCTGAATATCATCCAGTCTTGGTTGTGTCCCTACGGCCCATTCGTAGTATACAATGCCGTGAACTTGACTCCCAAAACCATGGAACTGTGCAGTGACGACAGTGTCTTCTTTCTGATAGTCTGTGTCAACACTGACAATGTTTGTGCCAATGGTCTGTGTATCTGGTCCGTCATCAGTTATGCCAGCTATATCACCTTGCAGGACCTTGATAGGACTGAAATGGACACAGTATTTAGGATAGGATAGAATAGGATAGAATATTTTATTTGAAACGTACACAAAAACAATGCTTGAGTAAAGTCCAGTATAAGAAACATTAAGTAACACAACTATATATAAATCTAAAATAATTTTAGAATCTGAAATACAAAATTAGCTAAAATACTATACACATATTTGTCCACACTTCAGAAAATATTGATTAACAATTCTCCATTTGGTAAGGTTTGATAATCAGATGAGTATTTGAATAGTGCATATAGGAATTTTTTCCTGTGTTCTGAAAAACTGTTATGTTCACAATAAAAAAGTAATGTTTTTCATCATCCACATCATTAGAGTCACACTTGTTATATACCCTGTCAATTTTATTTATTCCCCTGAGGGCTGAATTACGTAATTTGGTTAATGCCACTTTGTGTTTTTTTGTTACATTGTTCACAAATTGTACGGTACTGATAAAATGTTATTATTGTCTTCACTATAATAAATCCTATCATGCACATTACTGTTTTGAATTCTGTTTGAGTGTAGTTAAATCTAGGAAATACATAATGTTCACTTGACCAAAGTGGTAATACGAGTTAAATTGCTAATGACAAAAACATTATCAGACAGATGTTAATCAAATGCTTCAAACACATCAAATATTGATTTTGCAATAGAAGTTCAACTTTGATAGTCAAATTGAGAATCCCTCATGCAAATCATCGTCTCGATGACACTCTAAGATTTTGAAAGCTGAAGCACAAATGAAAACTAAACAAACTAAATGGTTTACAGTTTGGCGACAAATATAGTTAATTTCAGATTCACCTTGACGTTAAGGATTCTGACATGGATCCGGCGCCATTCTCAGCTTTGACAGTAATATAATACACAGGTCCATTAGCCGCTGTATTATATAACTGTAACGATAACTCATCAACGTATCCATCACGTTTACTTCCCATATTACGGTAGTCACTGACATCAGTACCTTCTATTGAATAATAAACAAAATACAATTGTAGGTGGACGCTTGTTTGTAAATAATGACACGCTATGGCCATCTGACGCAATTTTAATACGCAAGTGCGGGTGACGACTCCCCTGCTTTAATATGATTAAAGTTAAGGTACAGCTCTGCATCATGGGAAATGTAATTTGATTGGCCATTACTTAGTATGTTTACAAATGTTACATCATTGGTTGACTCAAATATTCATGTTCGCAAGCAAGAGAAATACTTTCTGAATATCAAAAAAAACCATTTTGCGAAGCAAGATACATTGCTACATGTATGGAATGCAATTTGCATACTGAAATCTGGTCACCAGCTTTTCTCCACACATTCTGAGCTATTAGGGCATATTCAGAAACTGAGATGTGTTGGAGAAAGCATTATATGACCACAAAGGGAGCAAGTCATTATGTTTCAATTTTAATACCTGGTGTTGTGCCAACAGCAACCCAGTACGCTACAATACCACTTTCTGCATCAGTTGCAAACCAGGTTGCTAAGATACCATTGGGATCAGTTTGTAAAACAAATCCATCAAATATTTCCTCACTCTCACCAGCTAGTACTCCTACAAAAATCTTTCTCATCTGAAATATAGAAACCAAGATTATACTTACTTATTTAGGAAATATAAAAAACAGGTCGCAGTCTCCATTGTACAACATTAAACAAACTAAACTGCAATGAGTCAGTGATTTTAAATCAGAACTTGAATGGAAAGCAAGCTAATACGAGATGTTGTATTATATTTATCATTATTATAAAATGGCCACTTGCAGTCGGCCATTTTTAATTTGATCTGAAAAACCTTCATTTGGAAAGCTTGGATCAAGAAATATTTGTCTTGTCTTTGTAGAAACTTTAACAAAATCAGTCACTGCTTGTATGAAAAATGTGCTGTGAAGTTTCAATCAAAATTGGATAATAAAATAAAATTGCTGTGTTTTTCAAAAACAAAACAGACAATTTTGTTTTTACAAAACACAAGAAGAAATCGTTTTTCTGGTCATATTGCAAATCAAAATAACAAAATCGAATTAAAATAATTCTTCTCTTACCCGGGGTGGTGTAGGGTCAACAATAACGCCATCAGTATCATGGACAGTAGACAAACCAGCACCATTAACAGCCGTGACTCTGATACTATAATGCCTACCAGTCAGCAATGTCAAAGGATTATCTGATGTCCAGTCATTCTGATCAGGAGATATAGACAGTGACTTGGTTCTGTGAATAAAATATATAATGTTACTGCAAATACATAATGTATCCTTAAAAAGTGGTTAAGACTTGCCCTGGAGTTGAACAAATGCAGACATTCGTTTAATTACGATTTATGTGGAGCAAGATGTACCCACTCTTTTTGAAAAACACATACCTGACATCAATTTTTATCTATTTATTTTTCAGATTTGATCACGTATATCTACTGTTGTGTTCTAATCTTGTGTTTGTGGACTTTTTGTTAGTTGTCTGTTATGAGAGACTGCAAAGGTACATGGCTACATTTTATTTGTGTTTTGTTATTGTGTTCTTGGACTTGTAAACATCCGTTGATGACTGCATTTACCATTCAGGTAAGTTGTTATTTCTATCTCATTCCACTCATGCACTTGATTTTCATCTGTGGTATCCACAAGAAGTATCAGTAGCATGCTGTGTTAGCCATTGTCTCAAGATTTGTATTATATTATTATACATCTGTCACCGTAATGCCATAGGTTACAGCGTGCCGTAATTTTGTGGTATTCTACTGGGTATTTTCATCCTACCATATGAGCTGCGCATCGGTCGATACTGCCACTGTACTGTCTTCATGCATACTTTGAGGTATCTTCGTAATAACCTTATATCATTATATTATTGTATATGTGGCATATTAGTTGTGTTCAGGTTATTTCAAGTACTATGGGCTAAGATTTAAATCTCATATGTTTGTAGACTCAATTGTCTTCACACACAGGAGTAAACAGTGGTTGGAACAGGCTAAAGAATGATCAAACTTGTTAAAAACATAAAAATTTTCAGTCTTTTAATTATGATTACTCAGTACAGTAAACATTTGAAGGAGCTTCCACAAATGCAACTGTTTGCATCACTACATGGGGGTCAAGTCATGTGGCAGAACAGATGATGATGAAGTGCAAGCTACATTAAAGATTGTGTTGAAATACGCATTGGTATATTATAATACGAGTATACCGATGGAGGTTAAAAATGTGAATGATACACACAGATGAACTTCAACTATTTATTCAGTGGGCAGCCATTACTGGTTGCTAACTCTAAAGGTACAATGCATCATGGGTAAAGAGGGCAAAGGTCACGACCTCTACAATAAAGAAGACTACTGACAACTATGACTGGCAGATATACCAGAAAAGATGTGACAGACAGAAAATGTCAAATTTGTGATAGTGGGGAAATTGAGAATGAGGAACATTTCTTTTTGAAATGTAGATTTTACTCTGCAGAAAGAAAAGAATTTTATGAAAAAGCTAAAATCAGAGGCAATCAACAAAAAACATAAACACACTTGTTAAAAACCAAAGATGAAACAGTACTTAAGGAACTAAGTAAATACATTCATAACTGTTTTATTATGAGGAAAAAGAACATAAAACAGAAATTACCAGCAGTCTCTCAACTGTGTTAGACACTACCAGTGGATTATGTAATTTCTTTGATTTGTTTTAAAAATCAGCTACCCTATGCCCAAAACCAAGTATGTAATTTATCTTATTCAAATGTATTTTAATAGTTACATTTATTTATTTAACTTAATTTAGATTGTATTTCCTTTTTTTATTTTATGTCTTGTTATTTTTGTGTATCTTTTTTCATAACACTTTATTGTACTTGATGAAACCTAATAGGCATAACATGTCAATAAAGTTATTATTATTATTATTCATATTACAAACCACATCACAAACATATATTGTCTGCTTCTTTCCATTTATTTGTTTATTTCACTTCTAGCTTACTTGAGGTAAATATTAAAGAGACCTATTTGTATAATAAAATGGTGAGCAAAAATGGTTTTAAAATCTCTTCAAAATGGTTCGAACAATGTAATTAGTTTTTGTTGGTCTTGATTTGTGTGATACTCACGTTAGAAAAGTAAATAATAATAATTTTCAAATGTTATAAGCGCAATTATTGCCTCACCTATCTTGTGGATAGATCTGTCTTCTAGTGCCTCCCTGTGTTTGATATACAGCCAGTTTATAATGATCAATACCAGACTCTGGATCTTGAAATTCCCAATTGGCAGACAGCTCACTTGTACTCGACTAGAAGTAAAATAATTAATTCAGTACTCTTATACAAAATACCCAACACCTGATTAACAGTCAAATCAGTTCTACTTGGACAGGAGTAAAACAATTAAGGTAGAGATGCAGGTTTGTTGGCACTTGGGAGTGAAATTTTTTTTTGCTTTTTATTATCCAAACAGTCTTGGCTATAGATTGTTAAAATTTTGTAGAATTGTGAATAATGGAACATACTAAAAAAACGATTTTAAAATATAGATAACAGGTGAAAAGATTCTCTCTTTTGAATGCTTAGCAAGATTTAGCAAGGCTGTACATGAATAATAAAAAAGAAACATGGTGAAAAAAAAGAAATGACGGAATCTCCATATTATGCACTATATTTAACTTTTAATAATACATTTGAATTTGAAACTGTTACAGCCATTTTAATTATGAGCATTAGCAACCTTCTTACTGAGTGAATTGTTATGCAAATTAGCAATTATCTCAGCTTCTTTTTAGTGCACATCCCAGAACTTTAAAAAAAAATAGCTCCTAGACGCTTTGACCTTTTGTTTTGAAATTTTCACAAATGATTGACAATGTGTTTATCTTCAACACGCCGTCGGGGCATTGTTTTTAGTTGAACAGTGTTACAACAATCGTACAGACAACTAGCATGGGTGTTAATTTATGCATAAACTTGAAGTAGTGAAATTTGAGCTGCTGCCCTGCAAAATTGACAACTGGTAGACAGTTTTCATCTTAGACGGCACTTTCTTCATAGTAAACAGATGTACCTATAAACCAATTTTTACAGGAAACAGAAGCATGGTTTAGAAGCTAATTTTTTTTAATCACTTTTGACCGAAAAAGCGTATTTTTGTGCATATTTCAAACCACAGTGTTCATAGAACAAAAATACTAACAAAATTGTAAAATTCATACAATAAGCTTTCCGAAAATATATAGTTTTGTGGACAAGGGAGGTCATCTTGGTTTCCAATTAACTAATTAAAATACCTGTCAGGTAAACTGCATCTCTACCTTAAGTCAGTTATACTTATAATCAAACACTATCGATAATTGGCAGACAGCTCACTTGTACTTGACTAGAAGTAAAATAATTAATTCAGTACTCTTATACAAAATAACCAACATATGATTAACAGACAAATCAGTTTTACTTGGATAGGAGTAAGACAATTAAGTCAGTTATAATCATAATCAAACATATCAATAATTGGCAGACAGCTCACTTGTACTTGACTAGAAGTAAAATAATTAATTCAGTAGGGTCATGCATAATAATTAACCACTGCAGACAGCTCAGCTGTACAATAGGTACATGAAATTGATTCTGAATCGGTACTCTTATTTGATTCACTAATGAATAACGACACTGTGGCGATTCACACTGCACAATTCATTCAAAGGAGCCTGAGAATAAAACCTCAATCATGAATTTCACGAAATAGATTATTTTTTTAGTTAGTTTTTTATTGTTGTGCGTTTTTTTTGGGATTCAGTTACGCTCTTATTGTATTTTTGTCTCTGTTCTGTCAGTGTTGTATCAATACATATACTATACTCATAAATGATATTCAACCGATGACTGACATGACATGAAGCAGAACTAAAATTTCATCGCCAACTATATTTTGTACATGTATTAAAATTAGGTAAATTGGGCATGGAACACAACAATAGCTGAATGAAGGTGTGTACAAGTACCCCTAGTTTGTGTTAATTATACTCACAGTATACTGCCTATCTACACCAGCATTTATACCATCTCCCAAGAAATGCATGATGGGATTAGTCACATCGATGGTAAATCCATCAGACTGAGTAGTAGTAGGATTATCAGCTTGATTTACAGCATCCAGTTCCACATAAACAAAGTCTCCATGATGTAAATGGAAATGATGCCAATTGATGTGATCAGTATCTGGCGTTAGCGATGTGACAACATGGATAAGCTGCATGGATGATTTCAAGATGCTCTCAGTGCCGTTATCTGAAATAAGAAAACATCACACGAACACATAACAAAATCAAAAATCTGTTTACATTCATTGCAATTTGAGATCAAACTATTTTTAGCAAATCAAAAAATAATTAAAGGGTGATATGGGACTCACGCATAGAACACATTGTTTGTTTATACATGAAATTTGAACATGCGCTGTGGGACAATCACTGCCCTTTAAGTTGACAGACCCAGAAAAGAGACAAGAAATGTATATGTGTCACTGCTTATTCTTTCCGTCTGGATTTTGAGCAAATTGAGAAACATGTTATCAAAATGTAAAGAGATGTAGAGTGAGGTTGAAAAGAAGACAGGTTGATATACAAATTGACAAATATAACACACACATATTATATTCCATTTTGTGTTGAATGTTGAAACATTTGTCTAAAAAACAAAACAAAAAAAAAACAATAACTAGGACACATGTAAGAAGTTGACTCAACAAAAAAACCAGGGACTTTTAATGACCAATGTACTACTTTTGAGATATCAATAGAATAGAATAGAATAGAATAATGCTTTATTAATACCGTAAAGAAAGAGTTAACATTTCCTTTTAGGTTTTCAGATTAATAAAGTAAATAATAAAAGTACATGAAATATAAAAATTGATTTAAAAAGAATTCAACATTAGTGAACAATTCAACATTAGTGAACGACAAGAATACTACAGACAAATATTAATAATATAAGAAATATTAAAATACTGTGATATGTAAGTATCACTGTATGTAGCATAGAATATGTAAAAAATATAGAAGAACATGACAAAATAAAAGAATTAGTCTTGTTTAGATTTAACTAAATATTTGCAGAGAGTGATAAGATGGTTTGTATTTGGTGACTGTAGTACAAGTTTAAATTGTTCTTTTTTGTTTAAGTTTTGGTAATCACTGTTAATTTCTTTAAGGATATTATATAT